CCTGCCGCCGCTTCTCTGACGTGCCTCTCGCTGTGGCATGCCCAGAGGAAGGCGGGGGGAAAGAAAAAACAAAAATAAAATAAAAATTTAGAAATAAAATTAAAGAAAATAAAAAATAAAACCCCAGCTTCCCCAAGAGGCTGGGTTGAGGAGAAGCGGCCATGTGATTTCCCTGTTAAAGGTAAGGAGGAAACCACCTTCCCCTAGAAGAAAGGGATACCGGTTCCCCTCCCCGACAACTATGCGGGGGCTTCTGCCTCGGCCTCTCCCTTGCAGCAGGGAGCACTGGAGGAGCTGGGGTCCCTCTCCGCCCCAGGACCAGAAGGTGAGGTGGACCCAAGAGGTACACTTTGCAGGTAAAACGTGCCGCTTTCTCTCTTGTTCACATTGTGCTCAAAATTCCTGAAAAGAAACCAGAGGAACTCCATCCCCTTGTTCCAGATGCTGTAAAAAATACACAGTAAGCACAGAGAGCACAAGAAGTGTCCCAAGAGGGTGGCATATATGCCTGTATATAACTGGAACCTTTAAGCTCCTGGCTACTTACAGCTGCCTTGCCGTAAAATCAAACACTTTTCTGCAGTTCATTTCTCCAGCAACAACCCTTAGCGGGCTGCTATCACAACCCTGGTCTCTGTGAAGCTTGTTGGCTTAACGTTCAAGATTTACCAACCCTTGTCTGATGGGATCACGCAGATGTGGGCGTGTGGGACACACAAGAAGACTAAGCAATGCGTCCCGGAGTTCCTCAGTGTTGCTTTTGATGACTTAAGCTGTGCATCTTATGCTGAGCAGTTTCATCTGGCAGATTTATTATCAGTTCTGAAGGTATGGTTATCATTAAGCTAAATGAGGTATCACAGGTGTTTCCATGCTTGCCAGCATTTAGCTATGAAGATGCATGGCACTGTCAGATAATGGATTTGTTTTTGTTTTTTAATGTATTGTTCTTGTGCTTAGCACAGCCATGTGAAGAAAAATCAGTACTTACCATTCAGCAATAGGTTATTTTCTCATGCTATTTGTAGCAAACTTTATAATAAGCAATGCAAAGAATACCTTGGGAATTTCAACTGCTAAACTGAATAAATGTTGATACTTCCTAACGTATCCCGCTTTACAGAAACTAAGAAGCCTGTAAGAAAAGATTTCTCTTTATGACTAAAACAGAAGAGTTAGTTCACGAGGTTTTATGTGCTCTCACCACATAAAACAGGACTTGCTTGTAGAAAATAATGTCTACTTGCTGGCTAAGGCACATAGGAAAATATGTGCCTTAATATACCAAATCTACCTGTTTATACATCAGCTATTTAGAAGTAGCAGAAGGTTAACAATTTAATTATGTTAAAATATGCAATATAGAGGCTAGATACGCATATGTGAGTGTGTGCGTGTGTGTACTGTTCAGCCAAACAGCCAGGCTTTGGGTAACCGGACAAAACCTTACAGCTGCTTTCCTTCTGTGGAAACGTGCTTGCGACAATATCCTCGCTCTCATTTCCAGTCTTACAACAATGGTACTGAATTAGTCCAATACAAATACACACATCCACAATTTGGCTTTCCACTGTGTAAAACCTCTTCATTAATTAGGAAAAAAACACAGTAATACTTGATTACACACACAGCTATATCCATTTGCACCAAGTCTGACTTGCTTTGAAATTCTGACTACTTGGCATGGCGCTTCCAGTTAAAATCACGACACAAGGGCAAAACAATTCTTCACTTCGAAAGAGGAGATGCCACAGTCACAAAGCCACGGCATTTTGAATTTTGATCCTGCCACCCTAACAAAGTGAGCCTTCTTGAGACTTAATATGCAAAGAAAATACCTAATAAAAGCACACAGGGACCTAAACCCAAAGTGTTAGTACAACTTGTACCTCATTTTACTAAAAGTAAGTTGCGGCAGGGAAAATAGCACGAGGCGACTGAGGAGTGATGAGATTCCAAGAGATTGGTGCAGCGTGTATTGCAGGTATAACAGACAGGCTCACAGAAATGTCTAAGACTCTTCACCTTGGTGGGCGGCCCGGCACAAGGTCAAGGGCTGTCGTTGCTTCTGCCAGTGGCAGCACCGGGCAAAAAAACCCCTCTGCGTACCTGTGGAGTAACCTTGGTTTAGCGCCAGCGAAGTCACTGGAACCACAGAAGGGATGAATCTGGCCATCTGTGTACTCCCAAGTACCCACCCTTTCCTCCAGCTGTTAACAGCGATATGACAGAAATCTCAATTCAAAACTTCAAGCCCAATTGAACCTGGCAGTTTTAAGGTACAAGCATGGAAATGAATCAAACTATGCCACTCAAACCGTTCCTGGAGAAGCCTACGTTTTATCCAAAAGCTTGAACACAAAAGATTTTCCATTTCAAAAATTTGACTGTGCTCATTCAGTCCCCAAACTTTTTGAGAGTGCATCACATAGTACTTAGTGATCCTGAATGTCCAAATGACGTTTTTATGGGAAATGTCGTGGGCAGAATACACAAGCTGGCTGCACGACTGTGCCACCAACAGCATCCAAAAGGCGCATTTCTGAAAATAAGTGCTTCTCAAAAAACACCCTAAATTATTTTTTTCCTTTCTGCAAGAGAAGGGGCAGGTAGGGGCGGACAAGCTGGCATTCTGTTGGTTTTGTCCTCTTCATCTCCTGGAGGGGTTGTTTTTGAATCCAGGCAAGATACATAGCCAGCCCTAGCTATGAAGAATTCTGCCGTCGTCACCATTAACAGTTTTCAGAGCGCACTTGTTCAGCTGTGGATGTCTGAAACAAGTGTGCATTAAGGCATGTTCCCCACCAGTTCTCAGCCTGTTACAGACAGTAATAAACTTTTGCTCTAGGAAGTGAAAATTCCAGAATCTCTATACAAATCTGTAGATTTGGGATATATATCTGTCCCTGACTATACTGCTTAGTCTTCAGCAGCCTTCAGCCACTGCCAGACATAAACCAGTGTTTTACAAGACATAGGAGAAAGAAAAAGGAGAGGAGCAGCAGCATTCAACTCCTGCCAGACACTCTTTATGAACAGACTATGGAAAAAGCAAAACGAAAGACCTGATAACATGTAATTTCACGAGGTACAAGAGGGGCACCCAGATCACTGTAAATATAAAAATTACTCGGGCCTTGCCTGTGTCCAAAGGGCAGTGGAAAGGCTCAGGGTCAAACACAGAAGGTATCAAAGGAAATGCACCTCCAGCTTCCTACAACTCAATGGTCTTTCCTCAAAAGGACACTGCGAGAGCCTGACATACGTTTTAGCCCACACATTCAGGTGGTTAAAGCTCTTTTGGGAACCACGGTTCCTAGGGGCTGCACAGCCACTTGTTTATGTACCGGAGTAAACAATCTCTTCACTTGAGTCCTCTGCCACTGCTGCTGATGACTGATTTCAGAGACACACTTTATCCGTTTCCTAGGCTGACAGTCCCAGGTAAAGCAGAAGCCGAGACTATCAAGCCAAGATCGTTTGCTCTACTGAACTACTCCTGCTAACACTGCAGCGTGACAGTCCCACAGTAAGACTTGAGTAATGCAAGAGAAAAGCCACAGTTACGAAACATTAAACTGCAACACATCCTAACGGGATGCAGACGTAAATGCAAGGCATAACCCACATAAACCGTCCACAGTTCCTATTAACCGAAAAAGACAGTAGAGAGTTTAAGCCCTTTTGAAATAACTGAGCCACCTCAGCAATAAACTGTTGGGTCAGTCCCACAGATGATGACCAAGTACCTCAAGAAAGTGGTACCCACCAAATATTTAAGTTATCAACGAATTCCTAAAAAATTTTGAACAATACAATCCTCAGATATTCAAACCCATCTACAATTCAAACAGGATGCTAAACCAATTAATAACTGATAGAGATCTGGTTACACTGCTGGCATTTATAGTTACGGTTTTGCTGCCATTTATTGTTATAGTTTTATATTGAAAATTAAAAAAAAAAAAGTAATTCAGGGCTAGCAAACGCCATGGACTTCCCATCACACTTCTTGCACTATCTGGAGTCCCTAAAATTAGGTGTAGTTGCTGGAGTTCCTCCCCCTGTTTTGCATGCGTCTTATTCTTCCTGGGCTCTCTTCCCACATATTCCAGGACACCAGCCATACCTTCTGACTCTTGCATGATCTGGAATTTTCCACCTACCTGTGGGACTCTGGTGCCTGTATCAGCTCTTTCCTGTCTGTGAGCTCCTCAAGATTAGAATTCATTAAGAAGAATAAAGTCAGGAGATTTGCAAAAAACACAGACCAGAAGCTTTTATTGATTGAAATTTCCCTGCTTCTGGCCTCAGCGGGAAACTAATCATAGCAACAAGAAAAAAAACACAACCCAAAAAAAGAAACAAAAAAGCGCTTCTGTTGCAAATGCTATTCTTCTCGTCTTTTTGTCTCTTCTTATTTTGCAGTTTAAAATGGTAATGTTTCCTCTTCCTTTGTTTTTTTCTCAAAGTGCAGCATCAGTCATTAGTGTCGTCTTTAATATCTGAAGAAAAAACAAACAGATTCATAAGAAAACGTGATCTCACGTGACACAGAATAACTTGAATTTTTTCAAATGTTTTATATTTCAAAATTGGACACACACACCCAAACAATATTTAAGGCATAGGACACCTTTCAACAAATCTAGAGTAAGGTAATTTTGTTTCCAAAATAGAAGTCTGAAAATGGAAATCCAAACAGAAAGCTCTCCCTTCCCCTTCCCCTCTTCTTGCTCAGGAAGTTCTGCCTTGAAGAGAGGTGTATATGCCTCTGGATTATCTTACAAATAATCACTCCTGTGTAGCCATTCAGCTCACAACAGACGATGTCTGACAGAGGACAGAACTTTGCCATCTATTTTACTGACCTGTAAGTCCCCATTTCTAAAAATAGGTGAATCTAAGAACTAGATATAGGATAATGGGACCCATCGTGGACAGCAACCCAGGGGAAAAAAAAAGTTACATTCCCATTCATGCCACAGTTTTGATCCTGGATTCAGAGGAGCTACTACTGTCTTGGAACTCTTTCTTTATCCCCCCCTTCTCAAAAAAAAAACCAACCCAAAACAGCTGGCCTTTCAGTTACCAACAATAGTCTCTCCTTTCTTGCTGCTACTCTCTACTTCCTCTCTTTCAGCGAGCGATGTCAACTCTGGCTCTGTTTTGTGGTTCTGGTCTGTACTCTGGTCTGGTGGTGTGACTCCCTTTTGCTTTCCAGTATGTGGCATGGATCCCAGTGTTGTTCCGTTGGGCGCTTGAAGAAAATATGGAGAGGAGGGCAGGCAAGGCGGCTGAGTGTAAGAAATCTGCTCTGTGAAGTACTGTCCTCCTGTTGTGCTAGAAAATGGCATTTGTGAGCGCAACTGGTTCGAGAATGGAGCTCCCTGCATGTAGAAATCATTCCAGGGCACAGCTTGATAGGTATTGATGCCTGCTGAGGAAAAAGCAAGCAAGAAAGGACAGAGTAATGAAAATAAGGAAAGCAGGATTAAAACCATGTATATGTAAAAATGTGTATGTTGTGCTTAAGAGAGCATCCTCAGTGCAAATACAGCATTACAGTTATGCCTTCACGGTTACTGCAGTAGAGCAGACATCACACACATATGAAGGTTAACTTTGTTGTTTACATTGCAGTGTGTTTATCCAGAACATAGTTATTAGGAGGAAAAACTTAAGAAGTTCATAGCATTGTTATAATCTAAAAACCATGATGCCACTTCAGCACAGATCCTGAGTGTATGTAATGATATTAGACACACACACACACTCCCAATTTTTTTTCCTCCACTCCTATTTTCCAAGTTAGCTCTGCAAAGCATAAGCTGGATGCTTAATCTTCACCTTCATTTATTAAGGCTGCAATCCAGGAAGCAGGAATGTTTTTTAATTAATATCTATAATTGAACTAAACTGCTCGCTTGCTTACATGCTGAAGTAAGAATGACGGGTGTGTCTACACTGACAGATTGGTTCCCTCCCCACTGCACTTCTGGAAGCCCAGGCCCTGGTCATCCACACTGCGTAACAGCCACAGCATCCCTTCCTTGAACAGAAGTATGGAATAAGAGACCATCAACTCTGCCTCTGTTCCTTCAACAATCCTCCAACTTTATCAGTCCTAACAAGGCTTGCACCTTTACACATCCCTTTATGCTCGCACGACATGCCCCAAGGCATGCAGCACACACTTCTGGCATCACGCTATAAAAATATTAATTTGGTTGCTGGGACACAGCCCTCTCATTACTTCTGGCACTTCAAACTGAAAAACCACAGAAAATAAGAATGATGCCCTACAACCAGAGAGGAGAACCAGGCCAAGTGTGCTAGATAGCATGGGTGCTGCCAACCTGTTCTGGAGAATGTTAGCCATGAACAGCGTGAACATGAGCCAGCTTGCACCCATCGGCCTGTGAGTAAGACTTCTCTCTCTGACAAGGTCCACAAAAACGGTACAAAAACAGGAGCAGCATCTGTGGTCTGAAAACTCTATTCTCTTATGTGATAAGAACAGAGATGTATTTTTTAGACTGTGAGCTTAATTCAACAAACCTGACAGTCCAAAGAAATAAACTGCAATAGTTTATCTTTTGGTTGTACTTGGGCTTGAACGACTTCAAAATACAAATCCCTGACACAAAACAAGGAGACTGACAATGCTATTTTTACCTAGTTACTTTTTAGAAAATTATGCTGAAGTGCTTTAATCTAAGTGGTGTTGCAAATTCATGTCAGAAAAAGAAAAAGAAAGAAGCTATATCCACACTCTGTTGGCCCCTGTCTCTCACTCTCTTCTTTTGCACTACCCTAAGATCCGTAACATTCTTTCAAAATGGTTTCTGCAGAAGCCCAGCAGAGTTAGAAGCCTGTTTTTCTTGCTGTCTCCAACTATTCCATTTGCTGTGGCACCTTTTTCACTTTGCACCCTTGACCCCCACCCACATACACCGAAGGCATGTTAGTTTGCACAACAGTACACTCCTGAACAAAAAAAGTTAGCTCTCCATAACAGACAAAACCGTTGCACTACCTGTCATATTCACATAACACTCTCTCTGGCATGCAGCTTATGTAGTAACTTTTGATTCCAATCATTGCGTTACTCAGCACTTTAAAAAAAGTATACAAGGAAATTATAAAAAAAAAAAGATGGGCAGCATATATATATTTGTGCATGTATATGCACATTCCTTCTTTCTGTCACAGTTATCAGTAAAACCACTGCTCATCCTGAATGCTTCAGGGTATTGTTCCGTTACTCCAGAGGAGCGGGATGCCAAAAGATTTCAGAAATTTACCCGAGTTTCCACTTGGCTGCTGTAACAAGAGCTGTCCCCCCATGTGGTTTTGTACGTAGCCTTGTGTGGCTCCTGCTGCCCCATAGGTTACAACTCCACTGTTACCAGGTAAGGCGAGGAAAGCTGTATGGGACTCCGTGGGTGGTGTAGGAGTGAGGCGGACACTGGAGAGCACATTGCTGGTCAGGTGACCCGGCAGATGGTGGAACTGGGAGAGCTGGTGCTGCTGGGGATATTGGGGCAGCTGATAAATTCCACCCTGGCTGCTGTACGTGGTCTCTAGGTTGCCTGCCGACTCCAGCTGCTCAGGGTAATTGCATGAAACTGGTGAACTCAAACTGCAGAGAGCAAGGAGAGAGGCAATTCAGAGATTAAAGTAGGGTCAACAGCTACAGCAACCTGTACAATAAACAATTGTTTTATCTTCCCTTTGACAGCCGCTCCAACCCTTCCTCCCAAATGCCAGGCACAGGACAAGAGTAACAGAAACTACTCGAGCCAAGTGCTTTCACAGCAGGTTTCTTTAACAATGCGCACTAGTGGGGATTACCTTTCCTTCAGTTCTTCCCACTCTCCAAAGCACACCCCAAAGCACACCCACCCTCTCTCAAGGATTCCTTTTCACTGTGCTTCTGAACCCCACATTCACTTCACAGGCATGCAATTCTGAAAGCACTCTGATTAAAGGTATCACTTTTCTGACAGCAGGTGCCCTGTCCTACTACACACATTATACACTTTTTCATACTCCATTTAAAGGACATTCTCACTCCCACGTCTGACTTCTCATTTCTGCTCCCACCTATTTCCTTGTCCCATGTCCCACCTTCACCCTCCCAAGGCTTCTCTCAGGGTTCACTTTTTTCATCTCCCTCAGAGACAATCTCATCTGTTCCTACCCTTGATTCTGGATGCTGTAAGTGAAGGCCTCCCTGGAGCCATTTTCCTGACTGGACAAGCTGCATTCACTGTTGCGAGTGTCCAGCATCAAAGGAACAATATGACTCTGGGGGTTGAAGGACAGACTGAGAGGTAGGCTGGCCCTGCGGATGGGTGGAGGGCTGGGAAGACTAGGGAAGCACTCCGTTCTGCTGGAACTGAAGTTGAGTTGTGGTAATGCCTTTGTCTGAACTGCTTCACAAGATGCCACCATTCCTGCCACTGAAGAGACTGTGAATAAAAAGAGAGACTGTCATAGTATGCTGTCATACTGAAAATTAAAAGGAGCAAGCAGAGGAAATGACAAGAGCGGCAGAACAAAAAAGCAAGATGCTGGTGAAAGACTGGAGGTTAACTGATGGGAATAAAAGTAAGTAAGTACCAGCATTGCTGCTGGGAAGCAAAAGGGAGTAGTAGCAAGCTCTCTGGAGCAGAGGATGATGTTTATTGGTTAAATAAAATTACCTTCATAATTTCAGTCTCTGCATACTGGATTTATTCAGCTCTCAAGAAGGCAGCCAAATGAAGCAAAGTACTTCCTGGAAAAAGGCCAGGAACAATCCCCCAGCCATCTTCCATCTCTACTGTCCTCTGGGAAGAGTGTGCTGCACAGATTACCCTTTTGAAAAATTTAACTGTGGTTTGAAAGAAACAAAAGTGTGCCTTTAGAGATCCACTGTCTAGGCCATTTTTTAACCAAATTTTCACTCCTGGTTTGGCCTCTGATGAGTCATGGCAAAAAATAAAAAATGCAGAGATGTCAGCTGAAGGGCCTTGGGTAAAAAAAGCTGGGAGATGGAAAAGGAAACCAACACCATTTGGTTGCTAGAATCTTGTTTGGTGACCTGTCTCCTCAGTCACTGCTGGAAAAGGAGAGAGGAACAGTTTCCTACACAACAGCCTCTGTGGAAAGAGGACAATATAGGAAATGAAAAGGTCAGAATCATGTATGCTGGTGATCCAGAGTAACAAGTAACACAGAAGTTCAAGAAGCTTGCATATAGTGCAAGAGAACAAGATTCTCTTTTATTATGCCAAATAGCAAATGATTTCTCTCTTGAGAAGTGTAACCATCAGGTGTGCATGACAATTTGGAAATGACTTTTCAAGTCTAGCTGGGCCGAACCAGCACACGGATGAGGCAGATATGAGAACATATCACTGACTGTTCAGGTAAAGTTGGTGTACTCCCGCACATTGCAAAGCATTCAGGGAAAGCTAGTAGCATGGACAGTTTACAGCTGTACTTCACCCTTGCAGGCATACAGCGTAACATCAAATGAACTCCACCAGGTGTGAATCAAAGGCCTTAAAGATAAAACCTAAACATAAAGCTGCCACAGCAAGCATGAGCTACCTTTAGAGAATTTTGGTATGCATGCCCAGAGAGCTGATAAGGAGATTCCATTTCAACACCTTGCAGAACCATTTCTCAGATTCCCCAGTGTGCTGTGCAATTGTGCCTATCTTACTGCATCTTCCCACATTCAATTTTTTTCAACGTCTGCAACTATGGAAAGAAGGAGTCCTGACGTTTCAATGAAAACTTGAATAGCTCTGATTTTGGGCTTATTTAGAAAACTAGAGCAAAATCTAGAATGGTGTCTCTAAAGCATTCACATGCCCAGGCAATTCTCAGTGGTTTATTTTTTCTATTTGAACATACTACTTCTACATGTCAGGCAGCATCTATGATGCACCTGTCACATTCCTGTTTTTTGACACAGCACAGATCTAGTCCCACACAACAGAGCACTAGTCAAGACAACATTTAGTTTCCTCGCAAGTCAAAATGGCTTAGCCAGAAATGAAGCTGAAGATCTCTTCTGATTTTTTAAAACCTTCATTTGCACTGCTTTTCCTAACCATTCTGTCCCAGAATGTAGCAGTTCACCCAAACATTATGAAACAGCAGCCATACGGGGCACAACTTACCTGAAAAACAGTCTATATCCTGATAAAGCTTCAGCTCAATAATGACAGTAGCATTAGCTATTCTGCAGATGGCCTTAGTCTTGCTCAGGATGAATACAAGCAGTGTTAACAACATAGCCCAGGAAATCCGTTCTAAACCCACTTTCACACCTACTAAGAATTAAGTTCCGGTTTTGGAAATATTTGCAACACTTTGTGCAGATAATCTTTGTGGATCGTAGCAACAGGACCCACAGGCAACGAGATCGCGAAGACAGCACACACAGCCTCCAAAGAGCTGGTTCAGCCTTTTCTAAAGCTTCCTCTACTTCTCAGTCCTTTCAAAGAAAGACACTGAATTTGTATCTTCTGAATAAAGCCACAAACGCAGTAAGAAGAAACAATTCCCACAGAAGTAATATCTGCTAAATCTGACACTATATTTACAGAAGTTCCAGCATCTTGTTCAATGATGAATTCTGATCACTGGCTTGAGATAATGCTTACATTTTACAATTCTGTTGCTCTTCCTGACATTGATGTAGAGACAGATATCCTCAGAAGGCTTTCCAGTGAACATGGAAATGTAACAATAGGATTTTTTGTTTATCACTTCCACTATTTCTGGGTTTTCAGTCCATGAGATAACCTTGGGAATTTCTGGAAAGCAATTTAATAATTTGCAGCTTCAGATCTCTGAACCAGTCCTGGAGCTACACTTGTCTTAACTCAAGAATGGCTTTTCTAAGTCTTCAGCTACACAGCTGTCTTTCCCCCTACTATAGCTGCTTCCTCGACATCCTAGCAGAGTTAAGAGACCCATTCTTTAATGCAAATAGCTTCCAATGAATGGGACAGAGTCTTAAGTTAACAAAAATGGATGTGTATATTTCTACCAGGATGACTATGATTTCAGTCCTTCACCAGTCTTTGGAGGGATTTTCAGTCCTCCCTCTCTGTCTTGAAGGAGACAGAGGCCTATTCTAGAGAGGTGTCCGTGAACTTATAACAGGGCATGGTTTCAACTATGGTTTCAAGTGTGAAAACATGGTTTTCAAATGTTCTAGGAAGCTGCTTTCACTGTTGTTAACAGACCAGATCATGTGCTCAAGATTTGTTACCTGAGTGACACCTATCTGCATCGGAGCCCTTCCTCTTGACATCAGCCATACATGACTTTCTTAGTCAAGCACTTATTATGTTGACTCCAAAAGGCCTTGGCATGAGATGCCTGCAATGATTCAGGCAGTAACTATGCAGCTGTTTGCAGACTGTTTGGGAGGCTGGAGACCATGATTGTAACTGTTTAACGTTGTTGGGCACAACGCAGCTGATGTTGTTTACAGGCTGAGAAACCAGTCTAACTTCATAGGGTCTACTTGCTAGGGCTGCCTTCTCAAGCATCAAATCAAGTTCAGCAAAAGGCTCTATTACTATGAGTCTCTATGTCATACGCTATCCAATCCAGTTTCTTTTAATGAAACATGCCTGTGTAATTGCAGCATTTACTGGAACATTAAGAGCCATCACAAAGCTTTTCACAGATACACCTTCTTGAAATTATGAGAAAACACATCTTTCTTGTAAATGACAAGTAAAGTCTCAAATGACTTTTGAAAGTAGACAAAATATTAATCAAACTTAGGAGCAACGGTATCCTTCATTTAATGGACTGAAGATCAGTAAACCAACTTCGGTCTCTAACTGCATTGTTTGGAGAAGTGTGTCAGTCTGATCCCCTTCTGGATTATCAGTGCACCAGAACCTACCACTTGTTTAAAAGGTATGACTCTTGGTTGCCGTGTCAGCTACACATCATCAGCTTTAAAGTAATTTGATTAAAAGCCAGAATCCTATAAGTGAAATCATTAGAGCTTGTCATTTATTTACTGTTCTTTGACAGATCATGTCCAATTTCATCCAATTGCTCCCAGGACTTCCATTAGAATCCCTTCTCTGCCACTGAATAATCATCCTGCTATTTGCATAAGAGATACCAGCATAGGCTGGGCTCCTGACATGTGTCCTCAGCAAGATAGCCACGTGAAACAGAATATTTCCTGCAAAAGCACCAGTGGGGCAGAAAAATCTCCTCCCACAAACCAGAGGCATAGAAAGTAACTTTTCTTTCTAAAGGGTCAACTCTAAAGAAAACATAAGCCGGTGTTTTAAGTCAATGAATCACAGATATATATTCGTAAGAATCTCAGACAAACAAGAAAAACTTCAAATAACTGCAAATGTCAAAAAAACCTCCATTAATTTAAAGCAAGCTATGTGTCTAGCAAAAGTAATAAGAAAACAATTCTAAGATCAAAGCAAGCTCAAGATTGAATTTTTGAAGCACAAAAGGCTCTTATGGCTAATATCAAAATCAGAAGCTGTAACTGCCAGCAAGGTAGAGTACATCACAAATACAACTTGCTGGCATTTTTAATCAGCTTGTTTGGAGAACTGTACAAAACAGTGGGACATAAAAAAAAAAACCAAACACAAACCAACAGAGAGTCAGAACTACTAGCTAGAGGAAGTAAAGACAATGGCAAAGGTGGCACTGAACACTCTCCAAAGGTGTCGGGTAAAAGACTGTAATGTTCTCATGCACTTAAGTCATTTGCTTGTCATGCCGAAAGTGGTTAAACACACTGCTAACAAGGAAAGCAGCTGAATAGCCACTCCCATTAGGCCACAGTCTGTGGGTACAAACTGCACCAATGCGCACAGGTCACAGATTATTTTGCTGAAGCCTGCCATGAGCTGTTTCCACAAGGGCCACTTTTACTAAGCAATTGTTTCTGTCTTGTAAATTGATGACCTTTTTATTCATTTGTTCCCTCTTTTATTTTGCTTCTGTTACTTCGGATTTTACCCTATCCAAGTTTTATCTCCTCCATTTTCTGAGATACTGTAATAAAGAAAATAGGTGGACCCTGAATGGCCCTATTTATTGACAAGCTTTTTTTCTGAACAAGGAGGCTGAATGAATTCAAAAGTCGCATTGTCTTTCATTTTTCTTCCGTTTCGTTTTCTGCTTTCATTCTTAAAGAGAAAAGTCTGCCTACACAATGCTAGATAACAAAAAAAACCAAGTTTCATTCCCCATGGTGGTGTTATCCTGCATCTAGTAAGGCAAAACTGTGACTGAAGCTTTTCCTGCGATTATGCCGTACAGATCTCTCTTCTATAAGGACTCTCTACACCTAGGAACAGTCTTTTTCCTCAGAGGGAGCACTAACTTAGGTCTCCGCTCTGCCCAGATGCCAATTTTCCCATGACTTGTAGGAACGTAATTTTTTAAGACTTCCACCTTCCATCAATTTTTATTAAACAAATTTGGAGGGCAGGGTGGGTTTCATAAACAAAGTGAGTGTGTGGCTCATTACATACACCATACTCCTCCCTTCCCTCAGGAAACCAGGTTAAAAACCAATCATCAAACATCACAGTTTGTGTGCATTAGCAAAGCATGCCTCTTTTCTGCAAAGTGATTTAGAAAAGGTACATTTTTCCAAACAGATCGGTGTCTGGAAAGTATTTACCAGCCTTAGGTGACACAAATAGATTTCATTACTTCTTGCCCAGCATGATTTAAAGAGAACAAAGGGAAGCTTGTTCCCTCACATAGATGTAGCAGAATGAAGTACATTCTCATCTTCACACGTCCTTAACACTGAAGATACAGGGGTTTCAGACAAGCAAAGGAAGCATGTGTTTCATAAAAGCCAGATGCATACACAGTAAATGCAACAGGTGGCAGTCAGCACCAAGTTCAAAGGATTCAAGGAGTAAAAACCCAGCTATCTTTATCACTCATTTTCTCACATACCCAGTCCACTCTCGGGGACATTCACTTGCCCTTTTTCTTCCTTACACATTGTACAAAGAATTCAGACGGGACATTTCTTTCCTATCAGAAAGACTGCTTGTGTTTTCCATATGGAGAATTGCATCCCAGTGTGCAGATTCCCCAGAAAGAAATTGCTCAATACAGACAGATGACAAGATCACATCCCTGAATGAAACTTTATTTCTCTAACAAATACACTCTCTCTTGACTGAATAGCATGTCTGCAGATGTACTTTAGGAACCAGGAGAGTTCTGAATACAAGTGTAAAAATACAAGGATGTTTGGTTTGTTTCTTGTAAAGTAATCATTTTGCAAAATCTTGGTCTTTATCTAATTAAATACTGGACTCAACAGACTGCACTACTTCATCATTCTGGGAAGCACTGAATTATTCAAACACTGACCATATTTACTCTGCTGCAAGTGGAAAAACTGGAACTAACTGAATTACAGTCATATTGGTTAAACAGCTCATAGAATTGACTAAAGTAGTCCTTGCCTTGAGACTATGACAGGCAAATTTAAATGACAGAAGTGCTAAATTACGGTATCAAGAAAGTATCTCAATTAAGTACTTTTAGCATACATATCTATTTATTAGTATTCTAAGCTTATTGATACAATCTTATAGTTGCTTTCTACAGTGCCAAAATCCTTTTAAGGTATCAGCACTATTAAAAAAACATTAATGTCTTTGGGTCATTATTAGAAAATCACTTGCACAGAACTGCCCTTAATACTGATAACCCTGTATATTTAGAATACAATGAGGGGGCAGAAATGATGGCATGAAATTCAAAAGAATTAATGACACTGGGAAGCAAGAAAATACACACAACAGTACCACATGTCAGCACATCTATTGATTGGGATATCTGTTCCTAAGTGGTGAAGTCCTCATCACTTTGGAAATATTTTCAAGTTGTGCCAACTTGGAAACATAAAAATATATAGGAAATGCTTTAGGGAACAGTCCTGACTCTAGGGAATGCTCCGATACTCCACACATGAATAGACAATTCAACAAATCCTCTCTTTCAGTTCAGGTAGAAAACTGGTCCAACAGCACACCCCACTGACTTCCAACAACACTGCAAAAGCAATTAAATTAAGCTGTATGCTTAAGAACTCAGCTAGTCTCACTCCCTCAAGGTCTTGCACAAAATGGAAAATTGCACTGGCTGGAGAAGTCAAGGAACCTCCTCTGGAGATTTAAAGGTATGGAGTACCTGAGGGAGGCTCTACAACCCCAACAGTTTATACAATGCACATTCCTCACACAGCTCTGCAGGTTGTACACAGACTGCAGGTTGTAGCCAGAACATTACAATCTAAACCAGAATATGAGATGTGTGTATCTGCCATGAAGAGCAAAATAACCAGAATAATACTTTCATCATCATTCAGAGAAGCAGTACCAGTGTCAAACAGCTATTACGGAAGAATGCCCCGATCACGTATCCTTATGAAGTCATATTCAGACTTCCTTGCTGGCTTGTGCTAGGACATGAATAAGGACTGCAAATTTGGCTCTAGCGTTAGCACGGAGGAACCACCGTGCTGGTACATAGCTGGTAGATACTCAACTAGCAGAGAGCTGTTAAACCTGGTGTTTGGACTTTTTGGACTGATGGCATAGGGCTCTCGCATGACCTTCCCTAAAGTGTTTGGGAACGTACCAGCACCAACAGCTAATGCTGCAGCTGTTCAAAATACTTGTGCTGATAGGGGGTCTCACCTGAGGAGGAGGCAAGTGGTGCAGGATGTCCACTGAGCAGGCTGGAGTAGTTCCCAGCTGTAGTGTCTACACCCAGCATGGCAGACTGGTCATGAGCAATGTCAGGCAATGGAGGCATGGGCAGAAGAGGTGCCCTGGAGGTATACACAAAGGGTATGAGCATGGACCAGAGGACAAGACAAGACATTACGACAAAGTATACACTCTTTTCACTATCCTACAATGGGCAAATCCTAGATCACTAGCAGGTGGAAAGGGCAAGCACTGGCTGACTTATGAGTGCAAGGAGAAACAGTGCAAGGGATGCTGTATCAACAGTATTTAGGGAAGCAGCCCAGGTCACTAGTGTGGAAAGGACAGGCAGCAGGGACAGTGCAATGAAATCAGTCAGGTGGTCTCCAATCTTTCACTTAATTTTTCTCTTTTCATTCTGTTTTCTCTGCAGGAAGACCCTTGCTCCAGATTGCCATAAATACCTCCCTGTGGAGACTAATGTCTTCCCTCGCTTACTCATTCACTGCCACTTGAAAGACCATCTATCCTCTCACATACTCCCTTCCCCCACTCCCCTATAAATGTCCCCTGCTCACCTATGAAAGATGCTAGCTTGTATTTCTTTGAAGAAGCCCATGACTTTGTAAGACTGATCTAAGCAAGCAGCATTTCCATTGCCAAGTGAAAATCCATGGAAATGGAAAGCAACGGTGGGAGAACTGGGATAAAAGAATTCCCAAGTGCACACAAAGCACCTGGCCAATGCATTCTCAGACACTAAAACTGAAGGGGTGATTCCACAGACCTTTCCATCTCATCCCTTGCTCTCTACGTGACTTAAGCCAGAGCAATTTCAACAGTTTTATTTCAAAACAGTGCTACAGGTTAATCAAAAGCACTTTTAAGAGGGTCCACTACAATTTGCCCAGAAATCTGACAGGCTACCGAGGTCCAACTCAATGGTCAGCTCTCAGTAACTTAAATGTAAAGGGGAAATGGCAAAGTAAAATATTTAATTCATTAGGTATCTATTGTGGAGAAATGAGAAAACAGAGTAAGTCCCTCACCCATAACCATCTGACCCAAAGGGGACTGACAGAGCTGATGATGTTGGATATTTTTTGTTGCCTTTCACACGCAACTTCTCCGATTTCCGCCACTTTGCCCTGCGATTCTGAAACCAGACCTGATAAACGGAAAGACAGGATGCATTCAGAGAGGAAACCATCTACACATGGGAATACAGGCAACAAATCAGCAATGACTGCCTCCACACATCACCAGGTGAGGCCAGAAACCTTTCTTCCAGAGAAAGGAACCTCAAAGAAACCTTTCTTCCAGAGAATCTGCAAGATTCATTGCAAACAGAAAGAGAAGAATAACAGCAGAAAGATACCCCCAAACACCAGTTTCCTTTGTTGCCCATTATCTTCAAGATAAAAGAGATTAACTCCAATCTCCTTAGCCTCTTTTACCTACCCATTATGTGTCTCATCTTAGGAAATGGGAAGAGATGGAGTACACAACCACAGACTCCACTGCCATTTTGGGTGGGGTAGTTGGTTGTGCAGCGTCCATCCCTGTGAGCTCTCTTCCTTCTCTTGTCACCAGTGGCAGGTGCAGACTCTATCCCGTTACTCATGAGCTCCTCTTTCCTTCCTACTCAAGCTCCTCCTCCCTGCCCCAGTCCCGCTCCGTCAATTTTCTGCACAGAACTCAGTCAGCACTGTTACCCACACAGGCGTTACCATGATACGCTGTGGTGTGACACCAACCACAGCCGCGATCTCCCTCCTCTTCTCATTGTCGGGGTAGTGGTCTTCCTGGAACATCTTCTCCAACTCTTCTAGCTGCTCTAGAAATGATGTATTGTTCAAAGAGAGAGAGGGGGGGAGTATGTGATAAGAAAAAAAAAAACAAAACAAAAGAAACAAGACAGAGGAAAAACAAAACAGAACATTTTTTACTATACTTAGAAATACATGAACAACATAAAAGATTTTTTTTTAAAAGTAAACCACAAAAATAAACAAAAATCTTCTTCCACAGTAAAACAAAGAGCATCGCTAGCGATGCTTCAAATATAAGGCACTCAGCAACCTTTATTTGAAAAAGTCTTCACACATCTAACAATGTAGAATGCATTGCAGTACCAGTTAGAGAAGTTCAGCACCTCCATGCTGTGCCTTCAGTATGGTGAAGGAAAGAAACGTCAGCGCCATTGGCACTACAAGTGTCACTGTCTGCCAGTGGGTTCCCCGGTATCTACCTGCACTATAGAAGGTGCGTGACTTCTTCCTGACTGGTGGTAGAATTTCTGGATTCTCAAGTAACTCTTTTTTTCCCTTGGTCCCATCATGGCTACTTCTGGATTCCAGAACTGAAGACACCTTGTAGGACTGCTGAGCTGCAGCGTTCGCTGAAGTGCATTTGGATGATCGGCGAGTAGCTGGGCCACACACATCCTGCCTGCAGAGGTCCCCAGGGATTCCACTAGATGCTTTCTCAGCGCACATTCCACTTCTATCATTACTTTTTTTCTTCTTTGCCTCCTTTTCAATCCCGTCAGAGTAATAGTTCTCACACTGTTCACGTGACCCTGACTGACCTGTGGGCTCCTGTGCAAATTCAACCACAGAAGGTGTGGGCACAGCCTTCACGTCACTGAGGAAATTTGACAGCTGTCCACACACTGAGGCAAGGTCGAGCTGGCCATCAAGGGCCGCTGAGTCTTGGGTAGTTGACCCAGTTGCCTGCAGGGTGCAGTATCTCCCATCTTCCTCCACCTTCTTTACAGGGCTGATCCTATCTTCTGTTCCCAAGGTATCCTCAACTTCTTCCTTTATAGCTGTGCTTTGGAATGCAGATAGCACACTGCTCCCTGTACTATGCCCAGCGACAGCATCAGCATCTACCACAAAGTGCTCAGTATTCAGTGATGTGTCCTCCTTCTCATGCTTGCACTCTACAAGGAAAAAATGAAAAACAACACCCCCACACACACTGTCTAAGCCAGATGTGCCTGGATGGCATGAGAAAAAGTGTGTGCCTGGATAGGAAGTTTCAGTTATGGGAGAAGGAAAACACTACACAATGAAACCCAGCAGTGAAAAGAACTAGAGAGTTCAAAATAAAGACAGTCACCAGGACAGAGTGCTGCTAGGAAAGCAACAGCAAAGAATGTGATATGGTCAATATGGAGATATTCGAACATCTGGGATGAGAAAAGCCTCATTTTGAGAATGAAGATGCCTGCAAAAACAACCAACTGTAAACTACAGGAAGAATTAATTCCAGACACAGATAATAAAGGGAAGGTTGCGGAATACAAATACAGTAGTGGGCAAACAGCACTGGGGATAACAAAGGCCTTTGGAATAAGGAACAGAACAAAAATCAATGACTTACCAAGACACTAAGTCTCACCTTATTAAAATGAGCAAAAGAAAAATACAAGCAAAATTCTGGTCTACTGTGTCAGCAGTGATTATCTGACAAATTACATCACTTTTTGATTTACAGAGGTTTCTGTTTCTTTCATACTCAAACTGGCCAAGCAAAACACAATTAATTGTACAAACTTCTAATAACTGCCTTAAATTAGTTTTCTGCAGCTTCAGCCACAACACTTATGAATAACACACTTACAAGATAGGTAATGAAATAGCCGGCTTGAGGACAAAAATCAGTGAAGAGTCTGACCAAGTTTAACAAAAAGCACAAACTGCATTACAATATGAGAGACTGAATAGTAGAAGACAGTCAGAAAGAACACAGCAAGAGAAATAATTAAAATAGGCAACAGAATAATAAAGAAGCATTATACTTTCCCAGCTGGCATATACATTTCCAAAAGAAGAAAACCCGCTGATTATCTCAGAATGTGTGAGTCTGTGTGATTTCTGCTCCTTAAAAAAAAAAAAAAGTGACTATTTCTTAAGAATAGAAAGTAGAATAATAAAACCAAAACCATATTATCTGCCTCTGTCTGGAAAGAGGAAAGTTTGAACAGACTGTTGGCAGCATTTCAGTTGTATGTGCCTACAGAGAAATGTGATTGTTTAATTTGGGGTGAAAAAGATCTAAAATAATCTCATTTCACTCTGTCCTACTTTTGATATATATTAGTGCAATGCCAAAATAAAGGACTTGCTTTCTGCCTCAATGTTTATTTCTTAAACAATTGTTAATCAAGAAGGAACCCCACAACACCAGTCAGATGGGAGAGTCTTCATGGAAGTATGAGGGGACGCCAGGCTGCTTTCAAGACCTTCTAATTTGCTTTTTACAGGATTAAGAGAACTGAATTAGTTGCAGGGGAAAGAAACAGAAGCAGGAAACTATGCAACTATAATACTTTGATCTTGTTAAGCAGCAACAGTTTCCACTGCTGTTAAATGAGGTGAAATATCCTGATGAGGAGGGTCAAGAACTGAGCAAGGCAGAAGCTGGCTATGTTCTATATAATTCCTTTTTCCACTGTCCTCCTCACTGCCTCTGAGCTCGTCTTGCTCCTTATGTGAAAAAGCTAGTATTTTCACGTCATCCATTCTGTCACTCACCCTCTGCCTCAAATCAGGAATAGCATTTTCAGCTTAGTGCTTTGATTTGAGAAGGCTTTTTACTTATTTTTATGCAAACAGCAATATGTGCTTACATCACAAAATACATTTCAAAGTCTTGTGTATGTACCTTGTATCTGCAGCAGAGAAAGAGATTGACACCTGGGAGTTTTATATCACCTACAGGAATATTTCTCCAAGAGATGGTAAATTACTGTCTCTATTTCTAAAACGTATAGCAAAGGCCTGACAACAACTTGGGATTGCCAAAGAAAAGACCAGAAATGAAAATAAAGTTTGGAGAGAAAGATAGGCCTTCATGGTAACAAATAGGGAGTTATCAAACCACTCCTTTCTCCCATCACTCATATGACAAGAGACTGAACATCATTTAGTCCCACTTTTAGTTAAACATAACCTTAAGCAGAAGGGATTTTAACTGACTGGGAACATCATACATAGAGAGCCTGGAACACCTGAGCTGCTGAAAGTGCATGAGCAGGAAGCAAAGTCCTCTTTTTCTTCTCATAACCACTTCCTTGGATGTTTCTTGGAACAAGGTAACCACTTGCACAATACAGCAAGATTTTTAAGGTTCTTTGATGCATGTGGTACAAAGCAACCTGAACACACACAGGGAGAAGCATCAGCTTCAGGGGTCCACCCACGCAAGCTCAGACAATGAGGTGGAAAACTGGACAGTGGGTGAAGGTGTTAAGTGCCACCAGCCTAGAAACCCAGAGGCAGCAGAAACCCCTCAGTGAGATACGAAGGAAAGCCCGCCTGCCCCCAACCCTCGCACCAGCTTGCCAGGTGCTTTTACAAGCCAGGTCACACGACGGCCATGCAGGCACCGGGCCGAGCCGCAGCCCATTGCCCAAAATCCCCCAAGGCACTCCGGGCAAAATGGCGGCTTGCCCCCAGGGGCAGGGTAACGCGGGGTCGCCTGCCCAAGGCG